ATATAGTAGAATAATAGAATACATGGAATAATATTTACAGAATAGAATATAAACTTAAGTATAATCGGGTATAGAATATATAATCAAAGTAGAGCATTAGTGAACCATTTGATTTCTTATACTTTTTAAACCTTCCCTACCCTGTTCGCCCCCTCAGAGTGCTGGGGGGTAATCTTGGCTCAACTGTGGAAAAGCCAGATCTTTTAGTACTTTTAATAGCGCTAAGCTGAAGATTAGGAGCCATAATGTAAACAGCGGGTCACCTTCTGCTCTGTGGGTGGGGCCCCCCGGGCATTAACCAGGAGGAGGGCCAGCCCAGGTACACCTGGGAGTTCCTCTGGGGCAGCTCAGAGTGACTCGCCTGTCCTTATGTACTTTCCAGGGCCACCTTCTCTCCTAAGACGGGCTCTTTTGGAAGCGCTGAATCACAGAATTCAGAGAGAGCAAGCCCCATTTTGGATGCTCAGATAAAGCATGTGAGGCAGAGGTGACTTCTGGAAGGTGGTGGCTATTCCCCCACTGCCCTGAGTCATCCTTCACAGAAGAACCAATTAGCACCAAAAAATCAACCACTCAACACTAAGGCTGTGTTTTTTCCTCCCTGGAAGTATCTATGTTGTAAACAAACAAATACACAGAGTGGACAGAGGAGGGCACTTGAACTAAAAGAATGTCTAACTGTAGAACTTCAAGTACTCAAGTTCGCGGCATCTGTGGAGGGGAGAGAGCCTGGAGACCAGGGTCTTTGTCACAGTCCTCAAACCCAGGTGTAGGTGATGGCCTCCAGGGCTGGCCTCCTGAGTTTACAGTTGATTGGGTCAGTGACACCAATCCCCATAAATAATCCCTTTTCAATGTCCCCTCAGAAAGCACTTCCTTGGCAGGAAATTCCAGAAGGCCTCAGTTCCTAACGAAAAGAATATTTGTCAGCTTCTCCAGGTGGGGCAATGCCTTCATTTTTGTATCCCCATCAGTGCCTGGCACATAATAAAAACTGCTTCTGTCGAGTTGACACCAACTCATGGTGACCCCATAAAAGGCACTTGCTAAAAGAGAGTTGAACTGACGTATAAGTGGATGATTACAGAGGATGCGTCACTATGGACTGGGCATCTTGCACCCCATTTCATGACTGCATGAGCCAAGGCCATGGAGTGCAATCAGGCGCCCTGTACGGAGAACAACCAAAGCAGTTGCCACGAAAGATAGTGAAAAGAAAACTTTCTAGTTGCCAGTCAAGTCGATTCCAACTCTTGGTGACCTCACGAGTGTCAGAGTAGAACTGTGCTCCATGGGGTTTTCAGTGGCTGATTTTTTTGGACGTAGATCGCCAGGCCTTTCTTCTGCAGCACCTCTGGGTGGCCTCGAACCTCCGACCTTTCCGTGAGCAGTCGAGTGCAGTAACCGTTTGCACCACCCAGGGACTCCTCTGTAAGGAGAAGCCCGATGAATTAAACCGCACCTCCAGCTTGCCTCGCGACCGGGCTCCACTGTTGCCCTCCACCCTAACAGTCATGACAGACTTAGTTTGGAGACCAAGCACTTGCAGTAAGTAGGAAACAGAGGCAGCAGAGGCATCATTTCACCAAAGCCGTTGTTACTATCCCCCATTTGCTATTTTAATGCTAATGTAATGAAATAATGCAGAGAAGCGCTCAGGCCCGCGCGCCCCCACACGCGCGCGCACACGCGCCCGCACACACGCGCCCGCACACACGCGCGCGCACACACGCGCCCGCACACACGCGCGCGCACACACGCGCCCGCACACACGCGCGCGCACACACGCGCCCGCACACATGCACACAAATCTGCCCCTTCTGAAGCTATTTTTAGGAGATAATGTAAAGTGAATTTTCATGGCCCTCTCAGAACCCTGGAGCGGAGTGGCAAGGACAGTTTTCTGTAAAATAGGCTTTGAGCAGTGGAAAGAGCTGAGCATGGCAGATGTTACTGGGCCTGCTAAAGCCTCTGAGAATTATGTCTGCTCACTCCTTCCTCTGAGGCAGAAAGAAAAGGAATTAACCTTTACTTAGCACTACAGTGGGCCCGGCAATACGGCAATGGGTTTTTTTTCTTTTTTGGCGTCTCTGGGCAGCGAAAACGGTTAAGTGCTCGACTACTAGCCTAAAGGTTGATGGTTCGAACCCACCAGAGGCACCTCTGGAAGGAAGCCTGGCAATCTGCTTCCAAAAGGTCACAGCCTTGAAAACCCTATGGAGAGGGGGCTAATTCCTTGATTTTTTTATTCCTGGCATATTACATACTCATTTTTCAGGGATTTTGTTTGAATTATCATTAGATTTTTTTCTCTTTTACTACCTGTTTTTTGGCCAACACACTTCTCTAGGGAGAGAATATGACACCTTTTATTAGTCTGTTTGGAAAGTCTGGTGATGTAGTGGTTAAGAACTACGGCTGCTAACCAAAAGGTTGGCAGTTCGAATCCACCAGCCCCTCCTTGGAAACCGTATGGGGCATTTCTACTCTGTCCTATAGGGTCGCTATGAGTCAGAATCAACTCAACGGCAACGGGTTTGGTTTTTGGGTACTAGTCTGTTTAATCCTCTGTTACAGACTGAGTTTACTTTTTCTCCAGGCTTTTGACGTGGGATAGCTTTTTTGCTGCCACAGAAAATAATGCCACCTTCCATAGACAGTTGCAAAAGTAAACTTCCTCTGGTAATATTATAAAAACTTGATTATTAAATTTTAAAAATACAATTTAATAAGAGGCATACTCCATAAAGTCATTAGTTAAATATTATTAATAAAAACACATTTTTACACACACACACACAAACCCTATGGAGCAGTCTGCTCTGCACACATGGGGCCGCCATGAGTCGGAATCGACTCAATGGCAACCAACAACACGAACATCCCCACCTTTCCCAGCCCCCTTGCAGTCAGGTGGAGCCATGTGAGTTGTTCCAGCCAACATGAGCAGTGCCACTTCCGAAATGAGGCATTGAAGGGCTGGGTCTCAACTCCCAGCTGTCTTTTTCTGCTGTGGAGAAGATGAGGCCACACACTGAGATAGCAGCTTCTCCTTCAGCCTGGGTCCCTGGGGGGTTCAGTGGAGCAGAACCCCCTGCCAACTCACAATAAACCAAAAAAAAAAAAACAACCAAGCCCATTGCCACGGAGTTGATAGCAACCCTGTAAGACAGAGTAGAACTGCCCCATAGAGTTTCCAAGGAGCAGCTGGTGGGTTTGAACTGCCAACCTTTTGGTCAGCAGCCAAGCTCTTAACCACTGCTGCTCCTTGGAAACCCCATGGGACAGGTCTACTCTGTCCTATAGGATCACTATGAGTTGGAATCAACTCAATGGCAACGGGTTTGGTTTGGTTTGGGGTTCTGTAAGGCAGGGGCCAGCAAACTTCCTTCGTAAAGGGCCAGACAAATATTTTTGGCTTTGCAGGCCATATGGTCTCTGTCACAACTGCTCAATTCTGCCGTTGTAGTGTGGAAGCAGGAGCCCCAGTGACACAGTGGTTAAGAGCTTGGCTGCTAACCAAAAGGTCAGCAGTTCAGATCCACCAGCTGCTCCTTGGAAAGACTGTGGGGCAGTTCTATTCTGTCCTATAGGGTCGCTATGAGTCAGAATTGACTTGACGGCAATGGTTTTTTTGTTTGTTTGTTTTTAGTGTGGGAGCAGTCATAGACAATATGCAAATGAATGAGGATGACTGTGTTCCAGTAAAACTTTATTTACAAAAACAGGCAGTGAGCCGGATTTGACTCAAGGGTCAGAATTTGCTGAACCCTGTTCTAAGGGGTTGTGTTGTTGGGTGCCATCGAGTCGATTCCGACTCATAACGACCCTATAGGACAGAGTAGAACTGCCCCATAGGGTTTCCAAGTCTGTAAATCTTAAGGGAAACAGACTGCCACATCTTTGTTCTGCAGAGTGGCTGGTGGATTCCAACCACCAACCTTTTGTTTAGTAGCCGAGTGCTTAGCCACTGCGCCACCAGGGTTCCTACCCAGAAACTAGCACATGGATATATAGTGAGAAGTAAATATCCAGGCACAGTCCTATTACCACTATTTGGCAGAAGAAGAAAGCAGGATTCCTGGCATGAATGAATGATGCGGCCAGGATTCCAACCCTGGGCTTTCTGGCTCTAAAGCCTGTGCTCTTCCCAAAACTCCATGCTGCCTACCATTGATTCATTGTACATACGTCTCATTCATCTAGTGTATTGAAAGTTAGGCCCTAGCTCCTGTCTGCCCATGCCAGGTAGAGAGCCATCAGTACAGTTTGTTGACACAGTGGTGGTTGTGGGATTTTCAGCTTGGAGGCCAACTGGAGAAAACCTATAGCAGAGCATTGAAAGAAGGAGAAAAAGTAAGGCGTTCCCAAGGACTGTTACGATCCGGTGCCCCAAGAAGAGGGGACACTTACCTGGTATGCAGTCTAAGGAGGTGGCTCCCGCAGACCACAGAGCATTGGCGCTACCTTGGCAATCGCACTTGCAAGCTTTGTGGTACCAGGGGTCCTCGCCCTCATCCTACAGGAACCCAGAGAGACAGAAATGTCAGAAAAGTCACTTTCAAAGGCAACTGTGGTCAGTACCCCTGGGAAGTTCATTGTCAGAAACCAGAACTATCAATCCAGCCTTAATACAGTTGCCATTTAACTTTGATTCTGAACAAACACATTGCTGCTACGTGGGCGACCAGCTAATATTTTCATAGACACACCCATGTACAGGGCAATGTTTACCCCATTAGAGTAATCCAAAGCTGGCTTCCCTGCCCATCCCCTGGAAGCTTCTATCTGGGTATCCAATTTTAAAAGGTGCTAGATTCAAGATTCTACCATCTGATTTAAGACCTGGTTTACTTTCATTCACTTATTAAAATACCAGTCTTGGAACTTGCCCAGAAAACGTGATATTGCCACCACCAGGGAAAAAAAAAAAGCCTTTAATATGCTTTTTTTTTTTTTAAATGTGATAATCCTGTAAATATTTTTGGCTAGGAAAAAATCTTCAAAAACTTGTCTCTGTGTAAATTCTGGCTTTCTTACTGTAACATACCTCGGTAGATGATAGTCCAAGTATGGCTGAGCAAAAGAACAAGAGAGGAAAACTCAAGTTAAAAAGGCATTCAACAACCGATTCATGGTATGGAAAAGTGAAATGAAAATAGCCTCGTAAAAGTTAACAAAGCTCCTTTCTGAAGACATCAAGCTAAGTAACTATCTGCCAGGAAAAACATCCACAGATGCTGAGAAACTAGGGAGCGCAAAATGAAACGAAGAACAGGATGATGATGATGATGATAATTATTGCTCATTATAGAATTTTGAGAAGTTCATTAAAGTAGCAAAAAGGGAGAGAAAGCACCTATTTTTCTCACCACCCAAAGGCAACACTGTTAACATTCTAGTATAAATCTTTCCAGTCTTTTTTCTATGCATATTTTTTTAACATATTTGAGAACCTACTATGTAAATGATCATGTGTCTTGCTTTCTTTTTCCACTTGAAATTAACAATTTGAGTTTTTCCCTTTAGTTATTAACTCTTCCTTATGATCAGCCCTGGTGTGCTAGTCAGGAGTTGGTCCCCAGTTTACATAATTGTCTTAGTTATCTAGTGCCGCTGTAACAGAAATACCATAAGTGCGTGGCTTGAGCAAACAGAAATTTATTTTCTGACAGTTTTGGAGCCTAGAAGTCCAAATTCAGGGTGCCAGCTCTAGGGGAAAGCTTTCTCTCTCCGTCGGCTCTGGAGGAAGGTTCTTGTCTCTTCAGCTTCTGTTCCTTGACTCCTTGGTGATCTTCATGTGGCATGGCATCTATCTTCCCCCATCTCTGCTTGCCTCTCTATGGCTAATCTGTTCTTTTTATATCTCAAAATAGATTGACTCAAGACACAACCTATGCTAATACTGCCTCATTAACATAACAAAACCCATTCCTAAATGAGATTATAACCACAGGTATAAAAAAAAATACATTGCCTTCGAGTTGATTCCTACTTGTAAGCGACCTTACTGGACAGAGGAGAGCTACCCCATAGGGTTTCCAAGGCTGTAATCTTTACGGAAGCAGATTGCCAGGTCTTTCTCCCGTGGAGTGGCTGGTGGGTTCGGACCACCAACCTTTCCTATTTAAAAAGTGAATCTAATGCCCACTGTTATGGATTGAATTGTGTCCCCCAAAAGTACATATTGTAAATCCTAACCCCTATACCTGTGGTTATAATCCCATTTGGGAATGAATTTTCTTTGTTATGTTAATGAAACGGTATTAGTGTAGGGTATGTCTTAAATCAATCTCTTCTGAGATATAAAAAGAGCAGATTGAGCACGCGGAGAAGCAAGCAAGCACCGATGGGGGAAGATAGATGCCATGCCACATGAGGTCTCCAAGGAACCAAGAAATGGTAGCTGAAAAGAGACAAGGACCTTCCTCCAGAGCTGACAGAGAGATAAAGCCTTCCTTTAGAGCCAGTGCCCTGAATTCGGAATTCCAACCTCCTAAACTGTGAGAAAATAAATTTGTTTGTTAAAGCCACCCACATGTGGTATTTCTGTTATAGCAGCACTAGATAACTTAAATCACTAAGACTCCTGCCAACACTTTTCCAATTGTTTTAGAGGGTAAAGGAGTGGTCTTATCTTTTTTCAGCATAATTATAAAAGCTATCTTTGTCAAATTGCACCTTCATTTAAATAATACATATTTACCCATTCAGCAAACCCTTTGATGTGTCCCCTGTGAGCCTGGCACTGTACTAGAGCCTGGGCCTTCTGAAATAGAAGCCTAGCTCTCTGCTCACAAAGAGCTTGAGGACCCGGGAGACAACAGACCACTGGACAAAGCACGTGGTGTAGGTTCTTTGATGGGTTATGGGCAGGCTAATTGGAGCCCAGAGGGGGAATATCTTTTGGCCTGGGAAGATTCAGGGCTACCTCTACCCCACGGCCACCACACCCAGCCTTTCCTAGGCCCTTGTTCCACTGGTTATTCATTCCTAGGGACTCCCTGGCCCGCCCACTATGGGCAGAGTTGACACTCTCAGGCAACAATGAGGGTTAGGGAGTGCCATTTTCATAGGAGACCACCACAGTACCACAGTGCCAAGCCCTGTGCTGGCAAAAGAAGTTACTGATGACTTCTTATTTTCAAATCCAGTGGACTTTTCTCAACACTGGTCTTACATCTTCACTCTGCAGCGTTGGTTGCTGTCAGTCCTTCCCATCTTCCTTTAATTCCATAACACTGCTCACCTCATTCTTTCACCACTCTGAATAATCCTTCTCAGTCTCCTCTGAGAGCCCTGCTTCCTCTCCACACCCCATAAGTGTGGTGAAACTAAAATTCAGACTCATGTACTGAGTGGCCTGCTGGATATCTCCACATAGATGTCTCTTACTATCTAAAACTGGACTCAGCAAGGCTGTGGAGTAACCTCAACTCTTATATGTTGCTGGTGGGAGTGCAAGCTGATATAACGTCTTTAGAAGACTGTTGGGCAATTTATACTAGGGCTGAACATACATGTGCCCTATGACCCAGCAATTCCGCTCCTAAGTATTTACCCACTGGAAATGCATACATATGTTCTCAAAAGAAACAAAACCAACCAACCAAACAAACGAACAAAAAAATCTCATGTCCTAGCTTATTCATAGCAGCAGTATTTGTAATACCCAAAACTGGGAACACTCATATGGTCCATCAAGAGTGAAATGGATCCATTGTGGTATAGTCACACAATGGAACATGATCCTGCAATGGGAATGGACAATCTACAACTACATGCCATAATATGGATGCATCTTACAACCGTGATGCTGAGTGAAAGAAATCAGATGCTAAGGAGGATACACCCTATGAATCCATTTAAATGTACAAAACAGGCAAACTCGATCTATGCTGTTCAACATCAGGATACTGGTTACACTTGGGGCCCGAAGTGGCAGGGAGGAAGCACCAAGATGGTGTATGGGGGGCTGGTAATGTTTTGGTGTTTGATCTGGGTGCTGGTTACATGGATGTGTCCAGTTGTGAAAATTCATTGATCTGTACACTTAAGTGTACTCTTCTGTGTATATATTATACTTCAATAAACTATATGTATATTATGTCAATAAAAGGATTTTTTAAAATGGAACTCATTAGCTCCTTCCTCAGACCTATTCTTTTTTCTCTATTTCTTACCCTGCTGAATGGCTCTGCCATCCACCTACCACCCCACCCAGAGACCTGGGAGTCATCCTAGCTTCCTCCTTTTCCTAACCCTCACATTTAGTGGCTACCATAGACATTCTCACCTCTCCATCCCCACTGCCACTGCCTGGTTTTAGGCCCCCATCCTCTCTCCCTGGATACTCTCCCTGCTGAAGAGAGATGTCGCCTGACCCATCCTCCTTGCTGCCAGTGGAATAAAACTGCAAACCTGATTGTGTCACACTCCTGCTCAAAACCCTTCGGTGACTCCTGAGACTATGGCCCCCGGACACCCTGCTAACGCAGAACTGAAGCCTCTCCCAAAGTCCACCTTTCAGCAAAAGATTAGACAGGCCTATGAAACAAACAATAACACGCGTGAGGAACATGCTTTTTAGATCAATCAGGTATATGAGACCAGATAGGCAACACCTGCCTAAAAGATGAGATGGCAGGAAGGGACAGGAAAGCTGGACGAATGGGCACAGAGAACCCAGGGTGGAAAGGGAAAGGGGGAGAGTGCTGACACATTGCGGGGATTGCAACCAAGGTCACAAAACAATTTGTGTATAAATTTTTGAATGAGAAACTAACTTGAGCTATAAACTTTCACCTAAAACACAATAAGATTTTTTAAAAAAACAACCCTTTGCCTAAGAATGAGAGAGATCCAGAAGCCAAGTTCCACCTCTGACTTTATTTCTTGTACGACCTTAACTCTTCATTTCCTCAGAGCCCTGGTGGTGCAACGGTTAAGCACTCGGCTGCTTAACCGAAAGGTGGGTGGTTCAAACCCACCCCGTGGCTCCGCAGGAGAAAAGACCTGGTGATCTGCTCCCATAAAGATTACAGCCTAGGAAACCCTATGGGGCAGTTCTACTCCGTCACATGGGATCACCATGAGTTAGAATCGACTCGACAGTACCCAACAACAACAAAAATGGGTATAATAATAATGTGTCCTTCAGGGGATCCCTGTGGTCTGGCCTCTGCCTACCTCTCCAGATTTATCCTTTGCACACTGTACTACTTGCAGTTCCTCAAATGGGCCAGGCTGTCTGTTTCAGGCCTCCATGCCTCTGTCCATGTAATTTCTTTGCTTGGAATGTCCCCCACCCCAGACTTCTCCCCTTCTCCATGAAGAGGACCTTTCCTGTCTTCCCAGGTAGAGCTCACCACTTGCTCTGGCCTTGGTGTTTCACCTCTTTCTTGTCCACAGGTTTATGTAAGCAGCTGTACAATTATAGAAATTGATATAAGGGATAATTGCTAATGACGTGCACAATGCATTCATTCATTCATTCATTCATTCAACTAGTGTTCGTTGAACGTCTACTATATTCCAGGCCCGGCTTTAGGAGCTGGGGGTACAACAGTAAACAAAACAGAAAAAAACACCTGCCCTCTTAGAGCTTATAGTCTAGTGGGGGGAGGAGATAATCAATGAATGAATGAATAAATATGTAGGATGTAAAGTGATGATGACTGCTATGAAGAAAAAGAAAGCAGCGAAGTGGGGGGACAGTGAGTGTACTTTTAGGCTTTGGGAAGCCCTCACTGAGAAGATGGTGTTGGAGCAAAGACCTGAAGGAGGTGAGATATGTTGGGGGAAAGCATTCTGGGCAGAGGGAATAACAAGTGCAAAGTCCCTGAGGCTAGCATGAGCTTACCAAGTTCTAGGAACAGCAAAGAGGCCCTGGGGCTGGAGCCAGTGCATAAAGAAGAGATGTGGATGGAGATGAGGGGAGCAGTGGGGGAGGGAAGGGAGGCAGGTCACGGAGGGCCTTGTGGGCCTTGATGAGAACTTTGGCATTTACCTTGGTGCACCATGGGAGGGATTGGAGCAGAGGAGGGATCTGATCTGACCATGTTCCAAGGGGTGCC